TCAATCAACCAGCGCCGAAGACCTTTACAGCGTGACAAAGGCCGCTCGCAGGCCATTGAGGGAGACGCTGGCGGCTTCATGAGAAATGTCACGGATGTTGTGTTTAAAATACGAGGTTAGGTTGTGTGGAGCGCGGGCAGCGGTGTCTGCTGTCAGAGTTAGGAGTGTGTCTGTGTCACTGTCACCTCGCCGTGTCACTTCCAGCTCTCTGCTAAATGATACATCAGCTGTTATTGCTGTGCTGGGAGATTGTTATCCCACTAGTGTGTGTGTGTGCATTGCAGCAATGTGCAGATGTGTGGAGGGCTTTGCGTGTGGTCAGTAGGTGACGCAGTGTGATGCATGTCTTTAATAACAGTCCATTAGCTCCCTGCATGCATGCGCCTGTGCACGAACCCTATGTGCGTGTTTGTATCCGAGACTGTGTGAAAGCAGAATGTGCGTCCTTGTGTGGAGATGTGTTGGATATGGCCGCTGATGGGCCGTGAATCAGAGCCCGGCGTGCTGTTATTTCATGTTGCGCCCACCGGGACCCACAGAGCTGCTTGTCTGTTATCCCTAACCCCAAGGTTCACTGACCCCAGCCACATTTTTCTCCTCTCCCTCCTTTGTTTTGACTTTCTCCCTCCCTTCCCCCGGTCTTTCTACTCCCAGGCCTTTCTCACTTTCTCTTCTTACTCTCACACTTACTTCCTTGGTTCTTTTCCCTTTGCGTGCTTCAGTTTCAACCTTTTCAACCCCTCAAGGAATCCACAAATTTGCTTCCTTCTAAATATTATATATATATATATATAAAGTCTGACAATCTACCAAGATAGTTTGAAGCAGTGGCCCCATAAATGATGCCAGCGCCTTAAAAGCACATGGCAGTATGTGTTGGAAGGCAAAATATCCCTCAGAAATATCTCCCCTATCCCACGCAAAACCTATTCACCGCCACATGAGCGCTGACAAAACGCGCAGAAATCCGCTGATCTTGAAGCGCTGTTCGCCCACCACAACAGCAGGCTATAACTAATCCATCTCCCACTACATGTTTTTAATGAGCCTCCATAACCGTAATCCGTATGGCGCAGTGCAGCAAGGGCCAAATCGAGCTGTTTCCATGACTTTGTGCTGTCAGCAAAATGTGACAGGGGACACGTGTGTTTTCCTGCATGTGTGTGCGTGCGTGCGCGTGTTGCTCTCTCTGAGCATCTGTGTTGTCGGTGTGCCATGGCGTTTGATGATTTTCCATCTGGTAGAAGTGAGTGGGAGAACGCGCGTGTGTGTGTTTATTGTCTTAGCAGAGGATCGGCCTGTTTTACCTGCATCATTCTGTCCTTGTTGTTTCAAAAATGCATCAGGAATATTGGAAACAGAAGCTGATGGGAGTGGCAGCTGTGTGTGTGTGTGTGTGTGTTTAGGGGTAGAAGCTGCCAGGCCCTTTCACAAACCCCCACAGGGAACCACATTAGGGCCCTCCGGGGGCCAAATTAGAGGGAGCTAACCAAGTTAGAGATTGGCGGCAGAGGGGGTCTGACTGGCAGGGATGGACTGATTTCACTCCCCCCCCCCAACTAGCACACACATACACACACCTCTCTTTGTTTTGCCAGTGATCAGCAAAAGATAAAAGCCAGTTCCTGACAATAGCAGCCTCTCTGTGGGGTAGTCTGCAGGGAGATCCTGAGAGAGAAAAAGAGCTATAATGTATTCCTGTAGGTCAGCAAGGATTAGTGTGTCTGTATCAAGGGGAAGCTATTTAAACTCATTTAGCTTTTAAAGCAGGATTTTTTTCCCCCACAAGAAGAGCTTATTATGGTTTTTGTTTGAGGTAATGTTATAGTTTTGCTTAAATAGAGTTTATTTCCTCAGATATATCGAAATTACAGGTGCCAGTGGTTGCTTTTTATGCCATACGCTTTAAAAAGCCAAAAAAACAACCCCAACTAATGTGGCATGCGCACTCTCTCCTACAGCACTCTGTAGAAGATGTTTACTGACTTCTTTAGCCTGAAATAATTCGAAAGGTTAAATATTAGTGTTTTGGTCGCACGGTGACAATCCCAACCCCTTCCTCAAACCGAGTGAGGATCTGAAAATGAAATCCGTGCCAACAGAGCAACATATTTCACTGTCTTCAGCTTGCTTCTGTCTGAAACTACATTAGGAAAGGTCAGTTATGGAGAACTCTGGAACTCAAAACAAGATCTGAAAGAGCTGCACATCTGTTGGCCAGAAGGGCAAAGCAAAAACCCCTAACAAAACCCATACAACGGCAAAAAAGCTGCGGAAAGGTTCAGTGGGCAAAAAACATCTGGTTAAAGCAGACTTGTTTTTGGAAACAAGTGAAATTGTATTTGGACTGAAAAAGGAACACCTTGGATGAAAAGAGCACCACGCTCACTTTTAGCACTGGGGTAGATACCCTGTGCAGGTTTGGGGGCCAGGATATATTACATGTACGTGTTAATCTACCACTAACATTAGTACCCAATACATGAAGTTAGCCAACATTTTTTGAAGTAAAATAACGATATAATAGTACATACAGTACATTTAATATGTACTGTATGCATGCACTTTGTGGGGATAGGTTAATTGAAAAATCTAAATTGCCCATAAGAGTGAATGTGAGTGCGAATAGTTGTCTGTCCCTGTGTGTTAGCCCTGCGACAGACTGGCGACCTGTCCAGGGTGTACCCCGCCTCTCGCCCTATGACAGCTGGGATAGACTCCAGCACCCCCTGCAACCCTGAAAAAGGATAAGCGGAAGTGAATGGATGGATGGATGCATTCACATTATCTGTCCAACATATGGGATGGTATTGGAACTTTTGTAGCATTAAATTCCATCCATCCATTTACTCAAAGGCAGAAAATTCCCAACATCCCAATCTGGAATAGGCTATGCTAGAACATCAAGGTGATAGCTCCTAGTTTTCCTTAGAACTTTCTTGATAGTGCCAACCACTGCACCACTGTGTAACCCCACTAAAGGTAGTCACCACAGCAGATCCACATGCTTGATTTGGCACAGCTTTTTACACCAGGTGCAATTCATGACTCAACGCTCCCATTTATCCAGGCTTGGGACCTGGATAGTGTACTGCCCAGTGCGTGGGATCAGCACTAGCAGTGCACTAGCTTGTGACTCCCTGAGGCTGGGTTTGTGTCTCTGCCCACTCTTAACCCAACGATCTCACATACGTAAGGCGAATGTTGAAACCACTACTCCAAGGAGCTGCTGCTGATCGCCCTCAGGATTGTGTTTTATCTCCGTTTTTGTTTATTTTGTATACCAACTCTTTTCCTAACAGACATTTATTAAGCATGCAGATGATCCAGATTTAGCGAGCCTCTTATATGATGGAGAGGAAGGACATGCGCCACTGAACATTTTATTAAATGGTGTGAGAGTGCTCATCCTCAACACCGCAAAGACAAAGGAAATGTCAGTTGATTTCAGGAGGAAACCATCAACCCAGCCCACTTTCATTACCAGAGAACTGATCCACTCTGTGAACAAATACAAGCATCTTGGAGGTGTGCACAGACTAAAATACACTCATGGACTGACTGCCTGTGCAGCAAGGCACAGCAAAAAACATATTTTTCTGAGGAAAATTTTATCCTTCAAGGTGTATTCCAAAATACTTCATATTTTCTGTTGTGTTGTTATTGAAAATGTTTTGACTTTATATTGTTTGTTGGTTTGGAAATGCCTCAGAGGCACAGAAAATGCAATTAGAAAGACAGTAACAAGTTGTTGGGTTTGCATTGCATTACCAAGTTTAGAAAGATTTTAAAGGGACCATATATGATATGGAGCAAGGCTATCTATCTATCTATCATACTTTAGATCTTAAACAGACCATAAACCGTTGATGATATTTATGACAGGTCGAATGAAAACAGGTGAAGAAGAAAGCAGAGCATCTGCAAGACTGACATGCCTGCTGGCACAGCCTCAAGACACACCCCATGCTTCCTGTTACGCGTCATACACGCCGCTGACCAGCACACACACTCATACATCTGGTAGCGGCGGTGGTGACATTTGTGAAATCTCTCAGTGGATGATCATAAATCTCAGTTTTATGAGCGTCTCTGCTGAACTCTGCTAACTGCTGACCGCATCGCCTTGACATTCAAGATCATGCAGCATCAAAACACGAGGGATGGCGGGGGGGCCTCAAACTCCATGAGAGCGTAGATTGATTTGCCTCACGAGGGCAGTGAAAGCCACTTACTGTTAGGGGGTCAGGCTTGTTTCTGTTTATAAAAGTCTTTGTTCATTACCAACGTGATTGCTGGACATTTAGCAGATGGCAGCATTTTCCCTTTTGGGATTTGGCTAAAAGTGTCACTGGTGCTAACATTTAACCAATTTTGCGTAGCGCAGCTAAAGTAGAAAGGCAAAAAGATGAACACAAACCCCGCCTTTTTCCCCACAAAACAAATATACACATTATTGTGCTGCCTCCCCCTCACCCCAACCTGTCATGGCAGATGGTTTTGCCAGAGGTTACTTCCTGTTAGTAGGGAGTTTTCCCTTCCTACTTTCACCAACTGCTTGTTCATAGAGAGTTATCTGATATTTGGAGTGCTCTTTGTTTTGTTGTAGGATCTCTATCTTACAGTAAAGCACCTTGAGGTGCTGCTGTTGTGATTTGGTGCTGTATAATGGAGAGCGCAGCAATCAATACTGAAATACTCCAGGCTGGAATCCAATCAAGTCATTAGGAGTAGGTGGAGCCAGTGCCAAGTTCCTATACCTGATTCTGGTGAAGAGACAAGCACAGCAGTGCTGTCTTGTTTTGTGAAAACTTCTAATGGAGCTGGAGTTTGTGTTCGGCTTTCTGCTTTTCTTCTTAGCTGGAAACTTCTGCTTCGCTACACAAAATTGGTTAAACGTCAGCACCAATGACACTTTTAGCCAAATCCCAAAAGAACAAGTGACAACAAGCTCGCAGCTGCCAAGATCACTGCAGACAGCCGGACGTCACTCGAGCGAGATGGAACAAAGGGATCCGGCCGGCTTTCCTGTCAGCTACCGGGTCAGGAGCCACCAGCTCAGGAAGCAAAAGCCTTCCCAGCTGGAGCAGGGGGAGACCGTCCAAACTCAAGAGTTGTCACAATTGCAGGAACAAGACCCAGATCTAAACCTAGCAGTCAAGCAGAAATCAAAGGTAGTGTAAAAAAATTATTATTATTTTTGGACAGCTACATAGCAATTATTGAATTCTCTGGACTATATAATCCATTCGGATGATATTCCAGGTTCCAGTGGAGTTTGAGGAGCGGGTTCCTGTGCCAGCTGACAGTGTGGTGGTGCACTGTGGCGAAGTAAAGGTCACCATCGAGGTCAAGCGAAACTTCCTAGGTAATGGCTGCCCATTATTTGTTTAAATTGATCGAATTTGCAGGTTTTTTTTTTATCCGCAGTGGCACCGGCACAGGTCCACTTAACATACCTTCTGCTCTGATGTCTAAAAAGGAAAGGTTTAGATTAGAGGCCCAAATTGGAAAATTGAATGGAACAGTGAAGATGGGATACTCACTGCTGATTACTGCAAATGGCACAGACAATGGTCTCGGTGATCAATATTACGTTTCCTCTTATTTCTTCACTCTGAAGGGGCATTCGGCTTGTCTGTCGGGTGCTTGAATGCTGATTTTACAGCAGTGCATTAAGAAACTTTTCTGTGTGTCCTGTGGCTGAACCTCCACTCCTCGTGAGTGTTATTGACTGGAGAAGAATAAAATGGCCTAAGGTAATGGTCTCGATTTAAGCTGCGCCTTCTCCGCTTTGTTCTTAGGAAACGGTCAGTTGATCCGTCCGAGTGATCTGACCTTAGGAGACTGCGCTGCGGTAGACGCTGAGAAACCCGTCCTGGGGTTTCAAACGGAGCTGGAGGGCTGCGGCAGCACAGTGACGGTGTGTGGCGCTCCGTTTTCTCAGGCCTATTTACTATTGTGCATTTCACTTCACTCTTAACTGTTTAATACTTTCTTCAGATGACTGAAGAAGCCATCATCTACACATTTACTCTGATGTACTCTCCGACTCCGATTAGCAACACCTTCATTTTAAAGACCAACCCAGTTGAAGTGGTAATTCAGTGCCACTACAAAAGGTAACGCCTTGTGGTTTACCCCCCATGCTCATTCTAAATGTCTGTAAAAGGATAAATGTAATCCATGTGATGTCAGCAGCATGAGTCTTTGAAGCTATGAGTTCAGCATTTTGCCTTCTCTCTGTTGCTGGAGGGGATGGATGGATAGGAGAGACCAAACGTAAGGCAGCTATGCCCAAGTGCCATTTTTTTTTCTCTAAATACTCAGTTTAATTCACTTTTATTTATATAGCAGCAAATGACAACACCAAGATGCTTTATATTGTCAGGTAAAGACCCTACAGTAATGGAGAGAAAACCTCAACAATTAGGCAACCCTCTATGAGCAAGCACTTTGCTACAATGGGAAGGAAAAACTCCCTTTTACCAGGAAGTAACCTCCAGAAGTACTAGCTTTAAGGAAGGGCAGCCATCTGTTGCAACCAGTTCATGTACCACATGATTGAAACGTAAAGATATTTATCTTTATCTTTTTCAACTGACATTTATGCAATCATTAGACCTTTTGTACCAAGAGGAATTCACCCTCCTTTCTCATTACTTTCACTTCCCTGAGCCTGATGGTCGTCCAAATCTCCTAGAGTATACAAATCTAGCTGTTAGCACAGGTTGTACAGAGCTACCTCCAGGGCTTATGAATCTGTAGCACCCTGTCAGTATTACCATCTATAGCAGTCAGGATGCATGATGTCTCCCACCAGTAACAGAGAACTGTAGCTTAAACTGGTTTAAAGTGCATCCTACAGTATATAGTACTAAAAATGCCCTAAACTCGCCTTGGTGAGCCATGCACAAACCTCTTTTTATAGTTATGTTTACCTATAGATGTTTAACTCCTATCTTTCTGTCCGTGGTGTGAATATTCTTCATCCTTGATGGGGCTCTCTCTCGAGTGAAACATCCCTCCTTCCTGTAATTGTCTTCACAGGAGGCATTACGTAAACAGCGATGCCTTGAGACCCACCTCGAAGCCGTTGGCGTCCCTCATGCAAGTGGAACAGCGGCTGCACTTCTCCCTGCATCTCATGACAGGTGGGGGCAGGTCAAAAATGACAAACTTGGAGCTTATGTTCTGAGGGGAAGAAAAACTTTTGATGTGCACCAGCCGGTCTGGCTAATTTCCCCGGCGACAGGCGTAATTGCAATCACTCGAGGCCTCGCGGTCTTCGTCGCGACTGTTAAAGATGCTAAATACCGGCTTGATAAACAGGAGTGAAACTTTTGCATGGTGATGAGCTGAAATTACATGCCTCGTAGGCCGCAGCTGACCCGACGGGGTCACTCGCACAATGGAGTGATCAATATACTGCTGATTGTGTGTTTTCTAATTAATTCTAAGCTATGCGCTGCAGACAGGCACCGCACCACACTGGTGTTCATCATCGTCATCATATGAGCAGAACCGTACTCCAGCTCTGATTTACTTACTGTAAACCTGTCTGGACTGGATGCAGTTATAAAGGAAATTATGGAAGTTTTAAACTAGTTTTTAAAGGCACAGACCTCATTTGTGTTTCCTACTCAGGTTAATGATTCCTTTATTGTCCTCTTTAAAGTATTTTTCTCTTACTGTTCCAGTACCGATATCCTACTGTCTGCTGAAACAGTGCCACACTCTCCCACGGGCATCATTTTAGTTTCATCTAATCGGATTGATGGCCCCAGCATTACACTCATACTTTTTTCCTCTGTATTTGATTAGAGGACTGGCAGTCGCAGAGGCCTTCCAGCGTTTATTTCCTGAATGACGTGATGCACATTGAGGCGGCGGTCCTCAGGGGTAACCACGTACCTCTGAGGGTCTACGTGGACAGCTGCGTGGCCACTGCGAACCCAGATCCATACTCACAACCCAGATACAGCCTCATTAACAACCACGGGTGAGAAGCTGTGGATCGTCTGTGGAACACTGCACCTTAAAGTGACACTAAATGCGAACAGTCACTGCCTGTATTTGTTTCAAAGAGTCAGCTAGACATAATAATCAAGATTTACTGTTAGGGCCACAGTTGTGTAACAAATGGTGCATATAATCAGCATATTTATGCATGTAAAACTCACCTGATTTTTCTTTTTTTCCAAACATGAGATGTTTAACCGACACTAAGCTGACGGGATCCAAGTCTTACTTCATGCCGAGGAGCCACGAGGATAAACTCCACTTCCAGCTGAAGGCCTTCAGGTTCCACCAAGATGACAGGAAGACTGTAAGTAGTATAAAGATGTGTTTATGCAGTTTTGAAACTACTGATCACGTAACCTGAAGCTACTATAGAGAGGTGCGATTTGCAGCACCTGAGGTGTTAGTTTACTTTTTTCTTCTTGCCTTCTGTTAGTTTTTATATATAGCAAGCCGACACCTAATATATGTGTTTTGAAAGTGTTGTTTCAAGGCTACAGTATCCTCAGAAGCTTTGTGTGGAAATGGAGGAAATGAATGCCCTTTGTGGTAACCACTGATAACCATTTTATAGGTTTAGGATCCCTGCCATAAATATGAGCCAGCATCAACTCCAGAAAACCTTTCCTTGTGTGGCTTTTACGTCGGCGTTGGATCGTAACATTACATTAACTTTGATCAGTTTGCCATTTAGAAACCGTTACCTCGCAAATGCAGCAAGCCACTTTGAATCCATAAGAGCCTAAAAACTTTGCTATTGATGTGCTAATGCGAAACGGGTTAACGTTGTTTGTGAAAACACCGGGCTGTGGAGGACAAAGAGTGCCAAAATTAAAAGGTTATAAAGAAATTATTTGGCATGAAATGCGCCACAGTGACATCCAAAGGAATTGTAGGAAAGCTTATATGAATTATGTTTTGTATTTATTTGTATTTGCTTTAATTTTATGCATTTTTATATTTAATTTTCATTTTATTTTCCCGTCTCTTCCTTTTTGTATCTTTAGAATTTTCCATTTATATTTAAATAATTACTGTTTTATTTTGTTAGACAGGAAATGCAATAGGACGTAATTATAATTATATTATATTTAATTGTTTTGAAGGTTTATTTCAGAATTCTCGTTTCCTACATTTCTTCCTTCTGCATTTCTCATGTGCTTCTGTATACACGGGCCCAAACTTGCCCTTCTGGGCAAACTCCTCCAGCTCTTCTGGGGGAACGATGAGGTATTCCCAAGTAAGTCTAGAAATATAATCTGTTCAGCAGGTCCTGGGTCTGCCACGGGGCCTGATCCCAGGGTTACAAACTCAAAACGCCTCATCTGGGTAGTTTCCAGATGCCCGAACTTTTTTGAACTAGCTCCTTTTTGATATGGAGAAGTATAAACTCTGCCCTAATCTCCTCCTGAATGACAAAACTCATCAAATGTCTAAAGGAGAGACCTGACCACCTTTTAGAACAAGTTTATTTCTGCAATTTGTATCCATAGTCTCCTTCTTTTGGTTACTACCCAGATCCCGTTATCATAAGTGAAGGTAGGAATGTACAGTGGCTTGCAAAAGTATTTGGCCCCCTTGAACTTTCCACATTTTGTCACATTACAGCCACAAACATGAATCAGTTTTATTGGAATTCCACGTGAAAGACCAATACAAAGTGGTGCACACGTGAGAAATGGAACCAAAATCATACATGATTACAAACATTTATTACAAATAAATAACTGCAAAGTGGGGTGTGCGCAATTATTCAGCCCTCTGAGTCAATACTTTGTAGAACCACCTTTTGCTGCAATTACAGCTGCCAGTCTTTTAGGTTATGTCTCTACCAGCTTTGCACATCTAGAGACTGAAATTCTTGCCCATTCTTCTTTTATAAAATAGCTCCAGCTCAGTCAGATTAGATGGACAGCGTTTGTGAACAGCAGTTTTCAGATCTTGCCACAGATTCTCTTGGATTTAGATCTGGACTTTGACTGGGCCGTTCTAACACAAGGATATGTTTTGTTTTAAACCTTTCCATTGTTGCCCTGGCTTTATGTTTAGGGTCGTTGTTCTGCTGGAAGGT